AATATGTGAAAAGTGGATTTTTGACCGGATGCGAATTTAGACTAGTAGACCTCTCTCGTAGTTTGTTTTGAGTTATTTTATTTTGGGCCTTTTTCCTATATTTTAATTAGGATTTTTCGGGAACCGTTAGATCGTTTTTGGATTCGAATCGTGATCGTTGGATCGCGATTATTACGATTTGACTTTTCCTCTCTCTCTCCTCCCCTCTTTTCCGCCGGTTCCCCCATGCGCCTGACACCCCCATTCCCCGCTGACCAACCCCTACCTACTCTTCTCTCTCTCTTTTCTTTTCTTTTCCTTTTTCTTCCCTTTTCTTTCTTCCTTCTCCCTCCTTCTCCTCCCCCGACGCCACAGCTTCTGGCTTCTGCTTCTCCCTCCGCCCGACCGTTGCCCGCAACTCGCCGTCCGCCTTGCGCCACCGCGAGCCCCGCCGTCGCCGTCGTTGTCGCCGCCCAACAGCAGCTCGCCGCCGTGAGCCTTGCCCAGCCGCTCGTCGCCGCGAGCTCAACTCGCTGCTCGCCTGGTAGCTCGCCGGACCGAGCTCGTCCGTCCCGCGCCGCTCGCCCCGCCCGACCGCCGCCGCGCCGTCAGCCCAGCTCGCCGCCCGGCCGTCGCCCCCCCTCTCAGCCCGCAACTTCTCTCCTTCCTCTCTCTCGTCATCACCACCCCCGGCTGACTTCCCTTCCCCCTCCGCGCCGTCGCCGCCGCGTCACCGTCGCCCCCGCCGCTCGCTCGACCCGGCTGGCCAGCCAGCCAGCCAGCCAGCCAGTAGCCCAGGCCAGCTCAGGCCGCTTGCCAGCCGTGCCTGGGCTTGCCCAAGCCGTGGCCGGCCCGTTGCCCACGCATCCCAGCCGCGCGCTCGGCCGTGGCCCGTTGCCCAGGCACGTCGTCCATCCAGTCGGCCCGTCGCCCAGGCACGTCGCCCGTCCAGCCGCACGTGCGTCCCCGGGCACGCCGTTCGGCCACCGCGCCCGTGCGCCTCAGGCACGCCGTTCGGCCACCGCGCCCGTGCGCCAGGCACGCCGTTCGGCCACCGTGCCTGTGTTAGCCGGCCAGCGCGCTCGTTGGCCCGCGCCCGCGCCTAGTTCGGCACTGTTCACCCGGACCATTTTAGGCCCGAGCCGGTTTTCTCCGGGCCAAAACCAAGTAAGTGACCTCTTATTCCTTATTTAGGACTATGGGTATTTTTAGACTTGTTTAAGATGTGCTTGGTACCGGGTTAGGAATTAAATTAGGCGTGGGCTAATTTGACTGATTGTGCTCAATTTGTGAATTATTGTGGCGGTAATTGTGTGGCTAATTTAGTGATTGACTGAGATAAATAGCATGATTGAATTGTCGTGGCGCTTGTGGGTGAATTGGATTAATTGAATGTGTTGACTTGAATGTCGGAATCGTGAGCTTGTGATTTGAAATTGGGATGATTGTGGGTGCATATTTGTGGCTATTGTGGTGAGTCAATGATTGGCTTATCGTGGCGGTTGTGAGTGGAATTGATAACTGAATGTGACCGACTTGAATGTCGGGTTGGTGAAATATTGTGGTGAGCATGCCTTGAGTTTGATTGGTATGACTTGTGAGAATTTCGAATTGTGTTGTGGTGCATGTGCATGAGACAAGCCCGGATTGATCGGAGGGCTACGGACTTGGGACGTGTTGACGGCGGTCCGTGTGAAGGCATGAATGGCCGGTGTGCCAAATGGATGCGGGCTTGAGACGTGTTGACGGTGGCCCGTTAAAGGTGTGTTGGACCGGGACGTGTTTACGTCGGTCATTAGAATTGAGCCCGGATTGATCGGAGGGCTACGGACTTGGGACGTGTTGACGGCGGTCCGTGTGAAAGCATGAATGGCCGATGTGCCAAGTGGGTCTGAGGCGCAGTGGCGCGGGCAGTGAGAATGGACCTGAGGCGCAGTGGCGCGGGTCGTGAGAAAGATGTTCGGCCACGTATGCGAATTGCGTGTGATTGAATTGGCTGGTTGAGCGTGTGATTGAATTGGCTGGTTGAATTAGTTGGATTGATTGAGTGTAAATATGGTTGGTGTTTGAGCGATTGTGATGTGTTATTTAATTACTATTATTGTATTATCACGTTGTGACTAACGTGTATAGTTGGCATGGGCTTGATGACGAGGTAAGTACAATGATGCGAATTTTATATGTTATGGGGTAGATTGCATGTACGACTTGTCTGGGTACGCATTGGCCTACGTGGGGTATAGGGGGTTGCTTATTGAGACTCGTTCTCACGGTTATTATATAACCATTTCAGATCCGCAACCATGAGTGACTGGAGACGCTGCAAGGGTATCTCGTAGATCGAGGACGGGTCAAGTACTCGGTATTTTGAGTCCCCCCCTTTGTAGAGGAGTTAAGTTTGCGAACCATTGCCCCTTTTGAGGAATGTGATTTTGTTGTTGTGGCCTAGCTTGGGGATTGTCTTTTTGTGGACGTCGTATGTATCTGCCAAGTGTAGGAATTGCAGTTATTATTTCATGCTATTGCTACCCCTTGTCATTATTAATTGTCTGGGTTGTTTCTATTTGTTTCCGCGCGTGCCTAATCTCTGATGTTTGGGTTGGGTCGGCGACGTGCCTGGGACGTCGCATTTAATGATCGACCTTCGAGGGATGATCGCGTGCTCGTAGGGTACGGGGCGTGACAGCTGCCGCCTCCTCGGCAACCCACAATTTCGGCAGCAACCCTAGCTTCCAGTTGGCTCCTCCCACAGCTTCCCTCATCAATACGACTGTTCATATGCCTCGAATCACTGTTCACTGGCTGTGGATTACTGTTCACCGAGCTGTGATGGTCCGATTGGGACGCAAGTTGAATTTTTGGAACCTAGATATTATGACGAGAAAGTCCCGTGAAGGATCGGAATTAATCCGACGCCGTTTGGTTGGAGAAAAATGGGAATTATCGTATTGGATGCATATTTAAATTATTAGTAAATTGTGGTAATTAAGTTGAGCATGCTGTGGCGTGCTTTGTTGGGTACGAGAATGATACCGTTGAGTCCGGCTCGGAGTTTCATGTAAGTGTCGGGAAGAGTCGGTGGTGTGATTTTGTGGTTTGAGTGCAAAAATTACATTCACGAGCCGTGGGAGTACTTGTGCACTGTCTTTGTGGTGAGTCGTTTGATGCGTGTTCGGTACCGTTAGGTCCGTCTTGGAATTTTATGAAAATCCTGTGAAGGGCTGAAAATGATTTGAAAACATTTGAACAAAGAAAAATGTTGTTTTATGCGAAAATGTGCTTTTGTGTGAAAATGTTGATGTGGTGAAGTGTGGGGTGCAAGTGTGCACGGAATTTGAGGCAATGGCATGAGAAAGTGAATGTGGGATCGGACCGAGGCGTGTGATGCTCGGGGTGCGATCGAGGGGCCTGAGGCGTGAACGAGTACGCGGGCCGGATGTGGTGAGTGGTCGCAGTGTACCTGAGGCGTGTACGTTTACGCGGGTCACTGGCGAAGAATGAGAAAGAGGAAATGAGAATGGACGGAATAATGGGATAAGAGTGGTATATGCGCGTGTTTACATATGACAGGATTGAGTTTGAATGATGTTGTGCGCATGTTTGAGCCTGGCAATATTATTTGTTGTGCCTGCAATGTGATGTTTCAGTGTGGTGATATTGAGTGTTTGAATTTAATTAGCGCTCATGGTGCATTGCATTGCATAACATGGACACGCATTGTGTATGCCGAGAGTGAGGTATGTGATGAAATTGTGTGAGAATGCGTGTCTGCCATGAGGATGTGATCACCTAAATTGCCCTGAAGCGTTATACGCTGGGTTCAGATAATAATAAGTTGTGTGATCACCGAAGGACCTTTGGGTCGTGACCTTCGGGTCGATACCGTCCTCATGCACTTGGAAGCAGGACGATGCCCGGTACGTCCGGAAGACGACCATCCTCATGCACTTTGAAGCAGGCTTTGGTTCGTAAGGAGATCGAGTGTTGCGCCTCATGCACTTTGAAGCGAGGCTAGAGACACTGGGCCGGATCGATTCTTTGCGCCTCATGCACTTTGAAGCGAGGCTAGACGCACCGGGCCGTTAATAATGTGGACTCGAGTCGTAATTAATAATAAATTAGGAAATTGCCAGTGTGCCAGTGTGGGCCAGTGGGCCGGAGAATGCGTATGACATGTAGACGACATTTGCATGCATGGAACATGCATAGACTGGCATGCGAATGTATGAGAATCGGTGCATAAACGTGTGATTGACATACGTGTGATTATGCGTGCCACGCATGTGCCGTGATTATTGTATGTTGATCTGCCTAACCTGCATGGTCAGATAATTGTCTGAATATTGTGGTATTGTGATTTGAATAATTGTTTCCAGTCAGGAGATTGTATGCTAGTCTAGCCTAGGTTGGGTTTAGGGGTGAACTTACTGAGAAGTGTTCTCACGGTTGTTTCAACCAACAATTTCAGAACCCCGACAGGACCCATGAATCTTCCGCCACCGCCACCAGAACGTTTTGGAGTCCTTAGTGGATGGGACGGTATAAAGGGACTCAGACTCAGAGGACAAGGAATCAGACTCAGAATGGGTTTTTGGCGAGCACCATTTTTGGAGTAGTAGTAAACCCAAGTTTTCATCCTTGGAGTATCGGTTTTTGAGAAAGGCGATATGCATGTACATGTATGGGACAATTTATAAATGTAAATATTATGGTATAAGAAGGAAATGAAAAAGATATGTATATTCTTCCTGATTTTTCTCCCCAGTTTTAATTGTCCGGGTTTAATTGTTGATATCCGCTGTGGTAGTAAATCTCTGATGGCGAATTTGAGGTCAGCGATATTCCTGGGACGTCGCTTGAATCGCCTAGAGGCGGTGTCGCGTGCCGTAGGGGTTCGGGGCGTGACAAAAAGTGTGCTTTCATATGGACAAGTTCCAAAATGAACGGATATTTTGAATCAACTGAATGATGGTAATCGTGTGACTCCATTAGAGAGCTAGAAGTACCTGCTTCCACGCAATTCAATCGAATGTGAGAACCATTTTACCGAGAGTTCGCAGGTTGTCTGCAGCCTCAAACGCTTCCCTCACTTGTGTGATAGGGAACGTTTTAGCAATAGGTATGCGCATCCATCCGGCTCCAACTAGCTTGCTGATCACCTCTAAACTAGGGCGGGAGGACGGCCGGCGTATAGTGTGATATACTGCCGCCATACAGAAGATTAATATTTTTGATGAAGTGATACGGTCAAGTGAAGATCATCAAACTAGCTGGACACCATACCTATTCTAAGATTTTTGTAGAGATCTGCAATCAACTCCGAGTTATCTCTAAATGGGTAAATCAAATTATCAGGATGATCCAGTGGAACATTCTCCTGCAATAGAGGTTGACATAAGTTTCAGCTTGAAACACTTTGCGAAAAGAGAAATCATACAATTGCGTTTAATTTTACCTTGAGATTGACATAGCGTCCTCCTCTTTTCAGAAGACTGAGGCCTATTATCTCTCCTCTTTTCAGAAGACCAAGGCCTATTCTCTCGGTCCTTGCTGCACCGATTGTATCGAAAACAACATCAAATTTCTCTTTAACTGCCAATTGGATGTCCTGTCAAGCAAAGAGTAATCAAATTTCCGCTTAATTGCCAATGATGAAAGCAAACACACAATGACATACCTCGCTCAAGCAGTCAACTGCCTGGTTAGCGCCAGCTGCTAACACTAGAGCAATGTTTTCACCACGACATGTGGTCACGATGTGGCATCCGTGAGCCACAGCAAGCTGAATTGCTGAATAACCAATTATTTCGTCACCGCCCACAATGAGCACCCTTTCTCTACCAAAAGGAAACAAGGTCAAAATAGACAGCTAAATGGATTTCCCAATGGGAAACAAATTGATTTCACTGGACATGCAGTAGAAATTCAGAATGTACCCGATTTTCATCTTAGCAAATTCTAGTAATGCCGCCCACGCAGTCATGGCAGGATATGGAATCGCTGACGCTTCCTACAAGATTATACATGTGAGGCCACGATGCTCTTTCAATCAAAAACTTCACAAAAGAACTCGCTAATGTGTCACAAATAGGAAAGTTTGGGGTTTTTGGTGTCACAAAAAAAGGTCGGGGTAAATGTGTCACAGAGGGTAAATTTTGAGGTTTTTTGTGGCATTTTCCCTTAAAATAATGAAATGTAGATTGTATGACCACAACAGAAGTGCATTTTCAAGGACATAGATGTGCTCAGAGGAAGAACAACCTTGAAACTACCAAAAAGCAATAGTAATTTTGTTACATTCCTTTCCTAGATAGCACATCTAATATTTCGTCCCAGGAAGTATTTGAAAGTTTAAAACAGGGTTTCTAGAGAGTAAATCTGCCAATTTCACAGAGTATCGGCAACAAGACAAGAATATACTACACTAAATGTAAATGCACCAGTTCAATGATAAAGCTTCAGTCTTTGTCCAACTTAAACAAGCATAACAGAGTATTCCCAAACTTTCCTATTTGTGACACATTAACGAGTTCTTTTGTGAAGTTTTTGATTGAAAGAGCATCGTGGCCTCACATGTATAATCTTGTAGGAAGCGTCAGCGATTCCATATCCTGCCATGACTGCGTGGGCGGCATTACTAGAATTTGCTAAGATGAAAACCGGGTACATTCTGAATTTCTACTGCATGTCCAGTGAAATCAATTTGTTTCCCATTGGGAAATCCATTTAGCTGTCTATTTTGACCTTGTTTCCTTTTGGTAGAGAAAGGGTGCTCATTGTGGGCGGTGACGAAATAATTGGTTATTCAGCAATTCAGCTTGCTGTGGCTCACGGATGCCACATCGTGACCATATGTCGTGGTGAAAACATTGCTCTAGTGTTAGCAGCTGGCGCTAACCAGGCAGTTGACTGCTTGAGCGAGGTATGTCATTGTGTGTTTGCTTTCATCATTGGCAATTAAGGGGAAATTTGATTACTCTTTGCTTGACAGGACATCCAATTGGCAGTTAAAGGGAAATTTGATGTTGTTTTCGATACTATCGGTGTAGCAAGGACCGAGAGAATAGGCCTCGGTCTTCTGAAAAGAGGAGAGAGAATAAGCCTCAGTCTTCTGAAAAGAGGAGGACGCTATGTCAACCTCAAGGTAAAATTAAACGCAATTGTATGATTTCTCTTTTCGCAAAATGTTTCAAGCTGAAACTTATCTCAACCTCTATTGCAGGAGAATGTTCCACTGGATCATCCTGATAATTTGATTTACCCATTTAGAGATAACTTGGAGTTGATTGCAGATCTCTACAAAAATCTTGGAATAGGTATGGTGTCCAGCTAGTTTGATGATCTTCACTTGACCGTGTCACTTCATCAAAAATATTAATCTTCAGTATGGCGGCAGTATATCACACTATACGCCGGCCGTCCTCCCGCCCTAGTTTAGAGGTGATCAGCAAGCTGGTTGGAGCCGGATGGATGCGCATACCTATTGCTAAAACGTTCCCGATCACACAAGTGAGGGAAGCGTTTGAGGCTGCAGACAACCTGCGAACTCTCGGTAAAATGGTTCTCACATTCGATTGAATTGCGTGGAAGCAGGTACTTCTAGCTCTCTAATGGAGTCACACGATTACCATCATTCAGTTGATTCAAAATATCCGTTCATTTTGGAACTTGTCCATATGAAAGCACACTTTTTGTCACGCCCCGAACCCCTACGGCACGCGACACCGCCTCTGGTCGATTCAAGCGACGTCCCAGGAATATCGCTGACCTCAAATTCGCCATCAGAGATTTACTACCACAGCGGATATCAACAATTAAACCCGGACAATTAAAACTGGGAGAAAAATCAGGGAGAATATACATATCTTTTTCATTTCCTTCTTATACCATAATATTTACATTTATAAACTGTCCCATACATGTACATGCATATCGCCTTTCTCAAAAACCGATACTCCAAGGATGAAAACTTGGGTTTACTACTACTCCAAAAATGGTGCTCGCCAAAAACCCATTCTGAGTCTGATTCCTTGTCTTCTGAGTCTGAGTCCCTTTATACCGTCCCATCCACTGAGGACTCCAAAACGTTCTGGTGGCGGTGGCGGAAGATTCATGGGTCCTGTCGGGGTTCTGAAATTGTTGGTTGAAACAACCGTGAGAACACTTCTCAGTAAGTTCACCCCTAAACCCAACCTAGGCTAGGCTAGCGTGCAATCTCCCGACTGGAAACAATTATTCAAATCACAATACCACAATAGTCAGACAATTATCTGACCCTGCAGGTTAGGCAGATCAACATACAATAGTCACGGCACATGCGTGGCACGCATAATCACACGTATGTCAATCACACGTTCATGCACCGATTCTCATACATTCGCATGCCAGTCTATGCATGTTCCATGCATGCAAATGTCATCTACATGTCATACGCATTCTCCGGCCCACTGGCCCACACTGGCACACTGGCAATTTCCTAATTTATTATTAATTACGACTCGAGTCCACATTATTAACGGCCCGGTGCGTCTAGCCTGCTTCAAAGTGCATGAGGCGCAACACTGATGTCCTTACGAACCAGAGCCTGCTTCAAAGTGCATGAGGATGGTCGTCTTCCGGACGTACCGGGCATCGTCCTGCTTCCAAGTGCATGAGGACGGTATCGACCCGAAGGTCACGACCCGAAGGTCCTTCGGTGATCACACAACTTATTATTATCTGAACCCAGCGTATAACGCTTCAGGGCAATTTAGGTGATCACATCCTCATGGCAGACACGCATTCTCACACAATTTCATCACATACCTCACTCTCGGCATACACAATGCGTGTCCATGTTATGCAATGCAATGCACCATGAGCGCTAATTAAATTCAAACACTCAATATCACCACACGCTGAAACATCACATTGCAGGCACAACAAATAATATTGCCAGGCTCAAACATGCGCACAACATCATTCAAGCTCAATCCTGTCAGATGTAAACACGCGCATATACCACTCTTATCCCATTATTCCGTCCATTCTCATTTCCTCTTTCTCATTCTTCGCCAGTGACCCGCGTAAACGTACACGCCTCAGGTACACTGCGACCACTCACCACATCCGGCCCGCGTACTCGTTCACGCCTCAGGCCCCTCGATCGCGCCCCGAGCATCACACGCCTCGGTCCGATCCCACATTCACTTTCTCATGCCATTGCCTCAAATTCCGTGCACACTTGCACCCCACACTTCACCACATCACCATTTTCACACAAAAGCACATTTTCGCATAAAACAACATTTTTCTTTGTTCAAATGTTTTCAAATCATTTTCAGCCCTTCACGGGATTTTCATAAAATTCCAAGACGGACCTAACGGTACCAAACATGCATCAAACGACTCACCACAGCATAGTGCACAGTACTCTCACAGCTCGTGAACAGTAATTTTTGCACTCAAACCACAAAATCACACCACCGACTCTTCCCGACACTTACATGAAACTCCGAGCCGGACTCAACGGTATCATTCTCGTACCCAACAGCACGCCACAGCATGCTCAACTTAATTACCACAATTTACTAATAATTTAAATATGCATCCAATACGATAATTCCCATTTTTCTCCAACCAAACGGCGTCGGATTAATTCCGATCCTTCACGGGACTTTCTCGTCATAATATCTAGGTTCCAAAAATTCAACTTGCGTCCCAATCGGACCATCACAGCTCGGTGAACAGTAATCCACAGCCAGTGAACAGTGATTCGAGGCATATGAACAGTATTCGCAGCCCCTAATTTTCTGAATTTCCAATAAATATTACCCGAATTAATTCCTAAGGCCCGCCATAAAATTTTCACCCCCTATCCATGTAATTCCGCACCTAATTTCATACTGATTTCGTCCGAATTTACCCGTCGATACCCGAAGTCCTAAATTAGGTTGAGGCGCGACTTACCCGCGTTCTAGACTTCCTTGGCTAGAACGGAAAGCGGCGGCCCTTAATCGGGGACAACAGTGACGACGTACAACTTCCGGGTGGCGGCGATCGGCTTGGACGGCGATGGCGTGGCTTGCGCGTGGCCGAGGGCCTCACGGCCAAGAGAGAGAGGGAGGGAAATAGAGAGAGAGAGGGACGGCAGGAGGGGGTGATGGTGGCGTACGGCGGCGTGGACGGTGGCTTGAGGGTGGTCCGGTGTGGTGGCGGAGAGCGGCGGCGCCGGCGGTGGAGAAAATGGCCAAGGAAGAACTCACGGTGGAGGAGGGGAAACTCACGGCCAAAAAAGAAAAAAGGGGGGGGGGGGGGGGGGAAGTCCACGAAGGAGAGGGAGAGAGAGAGGAGAGGGTCTTATCTAGAAACTTTGACCCAAAAAAAAATATCTAAAGCAAAAATGACTAAAATACCCCTTCTTCCATAAGCATGCCCTTTGTTAATCCTTAAGGGCAAAACAGTCAACTTCTTCGTTTCTTGTCCAAATTGAATTTTTCCGAAGAATTTGAGCACACCAAAAATTCACACGTGTCACGTACAACGTCGTCCTAATGTTCCGGCGTGACTTCCTAATTTTCCGGTGTCCAATTTGGACAAAAATTTCATAATTAAATTCTATTAAACGCAACTCGAGCGTTTCTCAAGCTAACGGGCGGCTTGCTGGGGAAACTCGCAGAATCGACTCATGACTGATACTGAATCGAGTCACGTGCAAGTCCGTTCGATGCGTGACGATCTCGGTTGTCATAAAAATCGCGAAGATCAATCACTTGATCCGAGGGGTACGATCGTTCGGTATAATTTCGGAATCATTCGTCAAGTCGTTTCGTTGTCCAACGGAATCACCCGCGATCCACTACTAGGACAGTGGCGAACTGACCCATAACTATCCTTGGATCGGCCAACAGTGGGTCAAAATATCACTTACGCGATTTAATGGTCGAAGTCCATTCACGGTCGAATTTTCTTTAGTCGCGCGAATTTAATTCCCCTATTAGCTTTTCCCTAATGGTTAGCATTCCCAGGAATGATCAGTTCCGGGCGAGAATTTACTGCGAGCACATTTCATAAAACTCAATTATTCAATAAATCCCAATTGGTGGAAATTTCGGAATGTCACACTTTTTCCTGATTGACTAGATAGAACATTTTATATCATTCCATCTCCTTGGTGAATGGAATTATTGCCAAAACGGTTACAAACTAGTGTTCTTAACTTGTCCATATGAAAGCACGCTTTTTCCTGATTGACTAGATAGAACATTTCATATCATTGCATCTCCTTGGTGAATGGAATTATTGCCAAAACAGTTACAAACTAGTGTTCTTGGCATGTCCAATTATTGAAACGCAACAGAGACATCTCAAAGGTGCAATAACTCAAAGAGGTCCTATAAATACCAATGTCGACGTTATGGCATTGCTATCTTACTCATACGAGACCGCAAGATGATTGAATACAGTGACGCACATTTTGTGCATTGATGAGCACACCGAATCGTGAGGAAGCTTTGGAAGCTATCTACAAACGACATTCAATGCCGTAGCTCTTCGCTGAGAGATGTAAGGCATCTTCTCGACACGTGAATCTCATTATGTCCATGATCAGAAATTTATTATGAGTCATAAATTCTTTTCTAAGAAAATGGCAGCTATGGTTGTCCCCCAAGATTCATCTTACGAGGAGCAACATTAACCGTAACTTCCCTCCACATGAATCTGAAACTTGCTATATTTCTCAAATACATTGTCGTGCGAACCACTTGAAACGGTCCTATTCAATGCTGTGATTGCGGACCACTTTCCAGCGCATGCATCATACATACGGATTCCAACTTGCATAATATAATACTGGGAACTCTTACGCAGTACAGTTTACGTGCTGGCACAACAACAATCCCTCAGGTATTAACACTAAGCTATTTAAAAATACCCCAATACCAAACACACTTCCCTAATAATAACTTGACCTTAACAGACAGCACACATAACACACATAAAGAAAGTTAACTTAGAAACCCTAGCACGCATGCAGTGCGACATCAGAAGTTCCACATGCAGTCAAGCTCCGATGAGCCCAATCCCGTACAGTTGCCGAGGTCCGCTGCCGAGGTCATCATCCAGAGATGACCAATTCCCCAAAGAGCTTGAAATCGAACCGACCAATTCGCCGATTCCACCACTAAGATGCTGGTTAGCTGAGAAGAAGGCAGCTGGAGATTCTCCTGCAGGGACCTTAGGCTCGGGAAAGCCGAGACGCTGATGCTCCTGAAGAGTCGGGCCATTGGGTCAGTCGTATTGATCAGGGAAGCTGTGGGAGGAGCCAACTGGAAGCTAGGGTTGCTGCCGAAA